AAAAAAGAGCTAGAAAATTCACCACACTGGGAAGGGTGAAGACAACTGGGTCGCCCGGCCCTGGCCACGAGGTGTCCCTTATTTGTTTTTCAGGGAGTTGGCAACCCTAGGCACGACCCGCAGTGAATTACTCTGAGAAGGTGCATTAAAAATAAAGCGCACCGATGCACATCGCAAGTTAGCTCGCATAGACACATTAGTTGTGTTGCTTCTTAATGACGGCATATTAGCTAATTACCCAATTACCAGATTCAACTTGTAATTGGCCAAAAACCACCTAGCCTACCGGTGAGAGTAACCTTGCTAGCTGACAGTTTTTTCAAGCGATGTTGAAATTTCCACATTCCGACACTTCAAATGCCTCAGAGCTGTCCACTCAGCGCAGCATCAGCACCACGGAAATACAATACTGTACTAATGGTAAATGGTCTGTATTTGTATAGCACTTTACTTGGTCCTAAGGACCCCAAAGTGCTTTACACTATACACACACACATTCACACACTGGTGATGGCAAGCTACAGTGTAGCTACAGCCGCCCTGGGGCGCACTGACAGAGGCGACGCCAACATGTCAACAAATATAGATCTATAAAGTTGTTCTATATAGTGTGTAACTGTTGATATAGAGCGTTATTAAATTTATTGCTAATGCAATGGTTGATATGGCACATTGACTTCTGAGAAAATTTTAGATGGCACTCATCAGAAAGGTGGACGACCCCTGCCTTATACTATGATACAAATGTTTAAAAAAAGCAAAGAAAAGTGCTTTAGTGCTTGTCTTTTAGCTAACACCGTGTAGGAGAAAAAATTACATTAATAAATAATATGAACAATAATCACAAATCTAAGAAAAGCAGCTGCATGAGGCTACAATAGAAACACGTGTTCACACATGATAGCAGTGACAGTGAGGTTGAATCAGTCTGACGGAGGACAAGCTCTACTGTGGGGGTGATGGGCTGTCCATGATTCGACTCAAACACTTCCAAATTCTGACCAATGATGCTTGCAGTCTTGTGGATTAGTTTGTTGATTCAGCTGCATCTCTGCACTGATGCTGCCCTTCAGCAGAGTAAACGGCTCTTGCTGCCACAGACTGGTAGAACATCTCCAACATCCTGCTGCACACATTAAAGGACCCGAGCTTCTTTAGAAAGTAGAGTTTCTCGTACACAGCATCACTGTTGGTCCTCAACAAAAAGCATATTTTTTTTACTTAGGACATTCATGTCAAGTAAAAAGATTACTTCTATAGCACATTTAAAAACCTCAGCTGAAAAAGTACATAAAAGTTACTAAATCAACATTGGATCAAGAAACATCCAAGATTAGCTGTTTCACAGGCCGCAGGAATGCAGCGCCAAACCATCAAGACACGTAACAAGATTTAAAACTGGATCCTCAAAGCAGTAACATATTTAAAGGGATAAACGAGTCACAGCTGGAAGCTGATGTGAACGCCTGCTTAACGATCAGGCTGATAAAACTTCAGGCTGCTGCAGACACAGTTTCTATTTCTGCTCTAATCTGATTACACTTCCTGTTAAATATGTTCAGTCACTAAATCATGTCAAATGACATTAGAGTATTTAAAAGTAGAATGGGAGG